TTGCCGAGTTCAGAAAAAACCTCAAAAAAAAACGTTTTTTCGAAAAGGGCAAGCACTTTTCTAAACACACTGTCGCTAGTTTTTTTTCCATCACTTTTTTTGTCAAAAATTCTCTTAGCGAAGTTTTTCTGGATGGTGAAGGTGAAGGCGATGAGCTTTTGAGTAATCGAATGGGGAAAGAAAGAGAGAATCGTCCATTTCAACAATAGAGTCTCTTATTTCTTCTTTCTTGACCATTGAATGACCAATAAAGAAATAAAGACTCGCTTTAATCACTCTTCAGTCACTCTGAGTATCAAACTAGATTCTTAAATCTCTAGAGAGTGAAAAATAAGACTGTCATGATAAAGACTGAACTATTTTTGGTCTACTGAAGTAAATCTAAAGAAGGTTTTATATTTTTGTATTTTTTTTTTTAATTTTTAAAGAGATCTTTACTTTTTAGTCTAGAAAAAAGTTCGTTTTTAGCAGAAAAAGTCTGGAATTGGGACCCAGGAGATTTCAATCAAGAAATGGGAAAACTAAAAACTTCTGTCCTATTCTTAGACTTCCTAATTCAATAGAACTTTAATCTAAAGCCAAGTATTGCAATTATAGATTTGTCTCATTTTTTTTCACTCACCAATGATCCATGTCTCTCACACAAATTGACAACACTTGACTCAGAGACACCGCGCACGTGGGCTCTAAAAATGGAATGAATGGAATGGATTACGTTATGGAAATATTGTTAATATATTAATATTAAATAAAAATTTGATAATATTTTTAGTCTAGAATTCTATATATTATCAGAACCTGTAAACACAATTTGGATTTGTTTTTGTGATAGAGGCGGTCGTCGAATTTGGAGAAGACATCCATTGAACGAGCGGCAGAATTGAACCGTTTCGATTCGAATTGGTTGAGGATCTGAATGGAGAATTTGAATCGAGTCTCAAAATTTGATTCAAATAGAGCTACCGTATTTCTTCGAATAGAAGACCGGGCAAAGAGTATCATCGCGTACTCCTGCGTAGCAGCCCTTTTTAAAATTTCTTTTCCGCATAAAAGCTTTCAATCAAGTGCTATAGAGCTGGAAAATGAATCAAAAATACGACATGAGCTAACAGATTTTTGAGCCATTTTCCAGCTCTATAGCACTTGATTGAAAGCTTTTATGCAGAAAAGAAATTTTAAAAAGGGCTGCTACGCAGGAGTACGTGATGATACTCTTTACCCGGTCTTCTATTCGAAGAAATACGGTACCTATTGTGCGAATGGGGCAACTGGTGGAAGATGTGTAGATGCACGATGTGTGTCGAGTGATTTCCACGAAGACGAATCGAACACGATCGACCGCATTCACGCGCCAAACCCTCGACACCAGATCCGCTAGATCTCTGAAAGGGAATTGTTAAGGAATTTGTTAAGGAAATTGATTTGATAACAATTTGATAGCTTTACCTTTGATAGTTAAAGGTTTTGCCATAAAATCAAATAAAATGTTCACTAGACAAACCCCTTTCTGAGCGATATCTCGTCGTCGTCGTCTTGTGAAATGGAAATCGGTGTGAAAAAGGAAACCCTCCGCCTCTTCAACACCTGAATATCATCTATTAGATCATCATCATCATCATCTATTTAATTTATCCATTTTTTCATATTCTTGAAATTCTTTGGATTCTTTGCTGGATTGAAAAGCCAACTTTTCAATCCAGCTTTCAATCCAGCTTTCAATTTGAATGAACTGAATGAACTGAATGAACACGTGTGCCGGAAATTGAGCACACATTGTTCATTAGAGATCTTTCTTTCTTCAACAATTCGTCCTTTCTTTTTCTTTAGTTTTTAAGGATTTTGTGCTCAGTTTCCTTGCAGATTTATGCGCTTAATGAACGATAAAAGTTTTCACAAAGAGGAACAATGGCTTATCGAAAAGGTAAAGGCTTCAAAATTATGCTTTTGTGAAAAATCTAGCGTGCAAAAGCTGAAAAGAATTTTAAGATTGTTTCTAAATCCCATTGACTTTATTTGAGCAATGGCTTTAGAAATGTAATACATTTGGATTCTTGAAGTAATTTTAAAGTAGTTCAGGATATTAGAAAATATTCAAGCAACACGGCTGGATATTTCTACCTTCATTTACAAGTAAAGCTATAGTCTTTTCTTGCTTACTGTAGTGAGACAAGAGGGTAAAACTAACGACAACTGGTTAACTTGAAGGTCTACAGGTCAACAGGTCACAGGTAAACTTGAAGTACAACAGGTAAACAGGTCTACAGGTCTACAGATTAACTTGAAGGTCTACAGGTAAACAGGTCTACAGGTAAACTTGAAGGTCTAACATGTTACAATACATTGCCAATTGGATAGTTTAGCTCTAAGTCAAGCTAAATCAGTCTATATTAGAGTGTGTTCCTCACGAGTAATGCGTTTTTTAAAAAGCACACTTAGGAAAAACTTTTAGCAAAAATTATTGCAAAAAATTGGCGCAAAAATGACGAGCGACGAATTATATACGACCCTTTTTAAAGATATTCAGCCGCTTAAGTGATTTGGTGGCAAATTCCCTTCAAATGTAAAGATATTCAATTTACTCGATGTGTAAAGTGTAATTACTCGTAGTTGCTCGATGAAAAACGTCAATTAATCGAGTAAAAATTACTCGTGCAGATTTTACTCGAATAATTACTTACTCGCGAGGAACGCACTCTAGTCTATATGTACAGTAAGGAGACAAGTGTGCAAGATGCCGTACTGTAATGAGGCTGAAACTAGCTGTATTTTAAGGACAAAACAAGGTATCATTTGTCAATACCATTGCCAATTCCTAATTGTTCTGTGTCACTACTCGATTTTTCCGTGTGTTCTGTGTCACTACTCGATTTGTCCGTGTGTTCTGTGTCACTACTCGATTCCCTGTGTGAGAATTGAACGGCGTCCCAGAGTCTGATAAGTGTTTTATGTAAAAGAAAAGGAAAAAGCATGGATGAGATGAAAATGAAGGGAATTGAGAAGAGAAAGGAAAAGAGGGGAAACCGTTTCTGTCAACAATCTTTGTTTTTATTTCATTTCAAGAGAGGGAAAGGATTCGAAATGTTTTTTTTTTCATTTAAGACTTTAGCTAGTTTAGATCCTTTGAGGATCCTTTAAATGACATTGAATCTTTTAAACAATGCCCAGGTTTTAATAAGTGTACTTGAGCTACCCAAGAGTGAACAAGAAATATGCAATTAAGGCTTGTAATTGGTATCAAAACTAACTGCAGAGCCATGAAATATTTGTAACTATTTAACAGCTACATTTTCAACCATTCCCCGTTTTTTAACGCTAAAATAAAGCTAAAAGCTGTTCTTTTTTTCCCCTTCATATTGATATACAATCTCTTAGTTTACACTTCCTTTTTTCCCGGGAAAAAAAACGGAACGTTATGTTGGCAACGTTTTTTAGTGATTGACTTTAGAGAAATTAGTGATAGAGATAGAGACTTTAGTGATAGAGAAATTGACTGACTGAGGGGACATGGAGAGACAACTGTGAGACTATTCCCTGAGAGAAAAAAAAACAAGATCAAGTCCACTACGAGTTTGGAGGGAAATGAGACAAGAAATACAACAGCCAGCTGTCCGAGTTTACAAGAGATTGAGATCTCCTACACTTTTTTTTTGCGTTTTTCCGATTCTCTTTTTCAGTTAGACCTACCAGAAAGTTGTAAAAAGATTAACAAGATTGATTGGAGTAATTTGTGAGGAGAAAGATTCGATTGAAATGAGTGGAGAGGAGTTTTCAAATTGTAGGAGTGTTTGGGAAATGATTTGACTGAGAAAATGTTTCAGAAAAGATTCAGAAAAAATTTATCTAAACAGTAAAGATCATTTTTCAAGAGAATGATAACTGCTGATAGAGTTACAAAAAAGAATGACTGATGAGATAACCATTAGAAAGCACATATGAATTGCTTTTCTATTCTGCTTTGCTATGGTATTGTACTCTAGGAATTGTTTAGGAAACTTTTGCTATTATCAGTACGATAATTAAGACAAAGCCATAAGCTTACAATTTGTTCAATACTAACTATACTAAAAGCTATAGAGCTATACTAAAAGCTCTATAGCTCTAAAGCTCTATAACTCTAAAGCTCTATAGCTCTAAAGCTCTATAGCTCTAAAGCTCTATAGCTCTATACATGAATTCAGCTCTATCACTAGTATTGAGTTAGTTTATTTTAAAACTCATACAATAGGATAATGCTTGTTATCTTCTATCGTCGTAAAGTTAAACACGACTATAAACTGGGCTCTCGTCAAGAATTGATATCAACCACTTTGATCCTTATGGATAAAATGAATTGATCATGTAAACCAAAAATAATAAAGTCTAATATAGATTTAAAAGTAGCCCATCCAATCTACTACTAACCTGAATACTTGGCTGTTCTTCTTGAAATTGATGTTGTTGTTGTTGTTGTTGATATAACTCGTTGATGCTTGTCCAATCATTTCGATCATTTTCAGATAATTTGTTTTGCTGTGGGAGGAGAAAAAGAGCCGATAGAATGGCCAAAATGCCGGAGATGGCGACGAGAAGAAAAAGGAGAAAAACTCGACCACGATACGGTAATCTCCCCCCGTCAACTGGTAACAACATCACTCTGAAAATAAGAAAAAGGTTTTCAAGTTTATCTAGTTCAATGAGTCCATGACCTTTACAAGACTAAGATACAAGACTACAAGATACAAGACTTCTAACCACCTCCAGATACAAGACTTCTAACCACCTCCAGATACAAGACTTCTAACCACTCGGCCATGGTGATAGTATGTTTAAGAGTTTCAAAATTTAGGCTTAGCTAAGCCGTTTTCTCTATTGAACACTTTTAACCCTATCGACTTAGTGTTAGACTCTTAGAACTTTGAAATCATTTCCATCACTTGTTCACCAATTCTCGCTCACCTCAGTAGTTGTATTGTATCGTTGGATGGATGTAATGGAGGAGTATCTCGGCCATCGAGAACTCTCCCCCAATCCACCGTCCAATTCTCTCCTCCTTTCCCTTCTTTTGCTTTTCCTCTTTTCACTCCGTTTTCCCTTCTCGTTTTGACAAGAGTTCAATTAAAAGACGAATTGTTGTGCTCTTTCTTCGATCAGCTCTGAAATAAAGCTATCATTGAGAGAGATTTTACAGGAATGCAAAAAGAATGATTCAAAATTGATTTCCTGAGATTAAGTTCGAAACGGAACCAATTTTTAAATCTTAATTAGCTTACTAAATTCAGTTATATAGTTTCAAAGGACAATTTTTCATCAACCAGACAAATGCTGGCTTGGCTTGGCTTGGCTTGACAGGCTTGAAAAATGCTGGCTTGGCTTGACAAATGCTGGCTTGGCTTGACAAATTCAGGCTTGGCTTTGGACCTTGTCTTGTTTGGTCTGTTTGGTCAGATCTGAGCCACAAAGCCAGAAGCCAGGCCTAATCTAATCTTGCTAACAAGCCCTAGAACCAGCACAGATATGTTTCAGACAAGCAAATAAGATTTACAGTTATCAGATTAGCTTACTAAAGTAAATCTCACGAATTTGAATAGAGTTGCCGTTTTTGTACCGAATCCCTTTTGATGAAATGATTTCTTCGTTTTTCTTCCTTTTTCTCTTCTCCCTTTCTGGCAGCTGAGATTCCGTTGTAGCCGAAAAAAAAGTAAAGAGAATCTTGCTTTTCTCTTTTTTTTTCTTCGATGAGATGAATCTGTAAAATCACAGGCAATATCTATCGTCTGCCAAATGAAAATGTCCGAAAAGAAAAAATAGAAAAGGGAAATCCCGATCCAAATGACAACAATGTGTCATCTGAAGGGAAGATGAGAAAAGGGAAGACAAAAAAAACAACAAATGCAAAGAGTTTACAAGACAAATTTCTGTATAGATCGATAGATGAGAAAATTTGACTAAAAAAGGGTTTTGAATTTGTAAAAATGTTAGAAGAACGAGCTGGAATTGATCGGATTGGATTGATCGGATCGGATTGATTGGATCGGATTGATTGGATCGGATTGATTGGATCGGATTGATTGGATCGGATTGATCGGATCGGATTGATTGGATCGGATTGATTGGATCGGATTGATCGGATCGGATTGATCGGATTCGGATTGATCGGAATCGGATTGATCGGATCGGATTGATCAGATCGGATTGATCGGATCGGATTGATCGGATTGGATTAATCGAATCGGATTGATCGAATCGGATTGATAGGATTGATTTGAAGCTTTTAAAGTGTCTTCAAGTTGTCTTCAGTTGGCTAAATCTGATTCAAAACCATTCAAAACTATCTATAAATATCAACAGAAATTTGAATTTGAATCCAAAAAAGCCGCACGAAGAGTTCAAATCCGATTATCAGCCTTCATCTTCATCCCAATTTAGATGAAGAATTGGAATTGAAAATGCAAAAGAATTTGAGCAAAAGAGAAGAGACAAAAAAGATAACGAGGTTTGTCTTCAGTCTTCAGAGCATTCATCCATTCCCCCCGAAGACCTTTCCCCCTTTTTGCCCACTTTTTTTTGTGTGCCCATCTTCTGCTGGCTGTTTTTTCGAATTGAGACTAAAAGGAGAACACAATCCCGACCAAGCACAACAAAATGGAGGAGTCTGATGGAAAAAAAAACGGTTGACTGAAAGTTTGATGGGTCTTTGGGGAAATTGCGGCCCAGAAAATAGATATGACATAGCTCTATGATCCAGAATTGCTTCAAAGCCAAGCCAAGTTAAGCCAAGCCAAGTTAAGCCAAGCCAAGCCAAGCCAAGCCAAGCCAATCCAAAGCTGACTTTAAGAGCTATAGACTTAAAATTCTGTAAAAGCTTGTTTAGCTGAATTCTGTCCAACGAACAGACACATTTGCGTCACATCTTGAAGTTAGAGTAGGTTAGGATAGGAAAAGATAAATCAACAACAGGAAAACATGAAGATAAGAAAAAGATGGTGATGATGATGTGAAGAATGAGAGATGAAAAGCTCTTTTTGAATGGAAAAGGAAGGGAAAGGGGTTAGAGAGGGAAAGGGAAGTAGAAAGGGAAGTAGAAAGGGAAATGGCCAGCTCTGACCTCCACCACGAAAGACCAATGGAACGCCCCCTTTTCTCTCCTTTTTATTCTTTATACATAATTGTTTTTTTTCTGGAATTGGAAAAAGATTCAAGATTTCTTTCTTTATTTCTTTCTTTCTCATTCTTGAAACTACAGTTGGACTAAACAAAAAAATTAGAAATTGTGGAAAAATCTTCAAACACGATAGCTATAAATGGCTATAACTAATAAATTTCTTGAAAAATCACTATTAATTGATTAAGTCAAGTATTTAATATAGTTATTGCTATTGTATTTGTTATTGTATTGTTATTTTGATCGATCTTCTCATAGCTGGCCTCAATATTTCTTTAGATCCACCCCCGCCCACCTTTCCTCTTTCAAAAAAATCGAAGATCAAAAAAAGCAGAAAATCTGAAGAGTATTTGCTTTCTCTATAAAACAATAGACATGAAATCTTTAGATTCAACCGATGACGTGTTCATGGATTCCGCTCTTCATCTTCTTCATCTTCTTCTAAAAATAACAGGATCCACAATCCATGACTCAACAATTAGATACAAAAGTTTTCCCTTCTTTTCTCTCTTTTTGGCCCCATTCTTCTCATTGGAGTTTTGCCAATGTGTGTGTGTTTTTTTTCTTCTTTCTTTCTTTGAATTAAGGCAAAAGAAATACAGTCCTTGATTGAATAAGAGGTGAGTAAGAGAATGGAAGAATAGACAAAACGGGAATGACTAGGAAAAAGCTTGGAGAGAAAGAAAAAAAAAAGAAAGAAAAGAAACAATCAAGTTCTTGTGATTCTTATCCAATTCAATTGAGCTTTATGGAAATTTGCGAAAAAGTCACAAGTACTATTCAGATTATGCATCTTATTGAAACAGTGAAACTCTGATTGTAGACTTGGTACGTAAAGAAGGTAGCTTTTTGCTTGCAGAGCTTCTTGCTAAAGCTAAAGCTAAAGAAGGTAGCTTCTACGTAAAGAAGGTAGCTTTTTGCTGACACTGCACTGGAACCATTATCGTCTAATAGTTCAATTCTGAATTGAAATATTGAATTAGGATTTAAAAATGATTTTTTTTAATCAAAAGCTATTAAAGACAAATCTATTAGATTAGTTTAACGAAAAAAAAAATAAATCAAAAAACCTTTTAATATCAAAATCTTTTTTTTTTTTCATTTCTATTTCAATT